TTGGGAGTGTCCGATACAAGGGAGACTCTGCCCAAACTTGGTGTTGTTGTGATCCTGATAAAGGGGATGTTGTGTCATGGTGTCAGGTTATGCGGCATTCACTGGTATTTTTGTGAGTTGATGTGTGATCAACGGGTTGACAAAGGATTTTCGATTTTAGGGGTGTCACATTCACTATGCCTTGACTTGAGAATCGTGAATGTTTCTTGTCTTTAGTAATCGAGACAGTTGTCACTGAAAGTAGCTCGATAACCCTATCTTCCAACCATTTCTTAAAAATGAGCCAAATATTCTCTTCTATGCATGAAAGCCTTGGTGATGGTAGTCATTTTTGGGTTTTGATCCGTTAGAGTCACAAGGAGTTTGCTGCTAGTTGGTTGTGGAATGTTGACTAACCAGAGAAGTGGAAGTATGGTTAAACAAAGTTGAAAAGTCATCTCTCTACTTAAAAAATATATACAACTTCCATCAATTTGTGTATCATAAGATTACATGTGAAGAGGGAGAACATGATTTTCAGGCTACACCAAAAGGATTCTTCGAATGTATCAAATAATTTTTAGGTTTGCGATAATGACCACATGTATGTCAAAAATAATATTTTTAATTCGGTATTACGGGTATGTGAAAGTCATGATTGTTCTAGATCATGTGATTAATATTTGATAGTCTTTCGATCAAATAAAGTTTACAATCTATGGAAAAAAGTGAATACAAAATGGAATAGACCTAGTCGCTAATAAATTGAATATAGAATGAGGTGGACTCAATAATTTTATATTAAGAAGTTCAATGAAATGGAAATGGACATGGTCTTTTTTCTTGTTCTATAAAAAATTTGGACTTAGTAGTTTTTATGATTTATCGCTAATAAAGTGAATATGGGCTCTTTTTTTTGTCATAGTGGAGCATTTTAAGGTGACACTGTTGTTATATTTGAAAACGACCAGAGCCTTTCAATTTTGAATTTCAAATATGTTCAATTCCTTAAAATATGAAACCAAAAATATAATAAATTAAATCCAAAAAAAAATAGGACTGCCAAACTAACAGACCCTCAAATAAGAAAAATAATATTTTAATAAAGAAAATGTTTGAAAATCTGTCAATGAGTACCTAACTAAAATACAATTCAAGTCAAAGGTACTTATCTACAAAAGATTTTAGTCAATATATTTTTTTTCACAATTTAGTAATTTAAAATGTACTTGCTCACAATTTTCCATAAAAATATTGGATCAAAATTATCTCATGATTTTAAGCGCTGCTGGAATGGACAGAAAAAAAGCCCATAAAAGATAATAGTAGAGTACCCTACTGGAATTTATTTCAACTATATATTTTATTTTGAATGATTTGTAATTAGTAATTTAAAAATAATAAAATAATAAATAATTACAAAAATTTACATGTGATAAATGTTTAATAGATGAAAAACAAAGATACGATTTCAATTAATTATATTTTCATACCCACATATAAAACCAGCTTTTATGAACACATATTGAATGTAACAGTGATACCACGTCACCATTGATGACATGGTATCACGAATCAATAATAAAACTCCAAATGAATAAGGTGAGAAAGAGTGGAAGTTATTAGCTTATATAGCAAATTGATTATTATTTTTTATGGGGTCCAATTACTCTTTTGTTCTAATATTAGTGAGTAGTGAAATCACATCACATTATCACGTGATATCACCGTTGTGATCGATATTTTTATCAAGCATCAGAAAGATCATGACCCAAGGATAAGGCGTCATCTCAAGCAGGGCTTATGACCTAGCCCCATTTATAATGTGGGTGTTTGAATTTTTTTTAGTCTCATTCCAACCATTTTGATATCGTATCAAAATTTATAAGTAAATAAAATTAAGTATAACCTAATTAGGATCAACTTAAAAATGAAAAAATAAGTGAGTTGTGATTTAAGAAAGTTAGAATCGATCTTATTATGCCACGATCTATGACAAACCTATCTCATTTTCTTATAATCTCACTAGTTTGAATCGCAAACTCGTCTTTATTTTGTATTTACATTTAGTACGATACCAAAGATATCATATTGTGTTATATTTTGGTGTATTAGGGTATCAAAATACTATGTATTGGCTTGAAATGAAATGTCATTATTCAGAATAATAAGTCTACAATTTTCAACATAAAATCTAATCCATGGATATCATTTTGTATGTGTTCTCTATCCTCCATGAACGACCTTCATCTATGCGATTTATCAAACTCAATAATTGAAGGGGTAATTATCTACAATTAAATTATTCGAGTCTGACCAATCTTTTAAAACATGATTTTAACTTGTGCTCGTAGTTTCTGCATACTTATAAGTATCATAAACTTACATTGAAGATATGAGGACTAAGAACATCTTATTTGGACAATTTTTTGTGTTTATTGTATCTTATCTCATCTCCAACTGAAGGACGTACTCACGCCACAAAAAGAAAAATGAAAAATAAAGAAAAACATGTTGCTATGCCAAGGCCAATATGAAAATTTGACATATTGATTGAATAAAAGAGGATGAGACTACTCTAGGGTTTCCCTTCTTGTGTTCTGCTACTAAAATATACACCTCGGAATGCATTGTTCTTAAAGAAATGTGTTTTCACATCTTCTTAACCCAAATTGGCTGGGAGATCAAATTATTTTATTTTATTTTTTTAGGATACTCCCTGGATCAAATCCAGTGGAGACAATTTTGATCCTAACAATTCAAGTCGAATACAGTGACAAAAAAGTAATATTTAAGAAAGCTAAATTTAACTGAAGCAATACACTACTCAAATCTATCTGATTCACTTTTGAGATAATTAGATCAATATTTAAAGGGAAATAATGAGAAGCACATAGGCTCCAACATGAAAGAAATGGACACCCCGCAAAGAAGTAGAAAGCCAAATTAAAAGATAACTTAATGGATAGCGTTAAGAGAAGATGAGGAGTTCTTAAAAAGCCTAAATCTAGAAGCATCCAGAATATTTTTCTTCAGGTTTTATTGGAGTCCCATAAATCTAGAGCTTTTTGTCGACTATTGATCTTGGTTTTCAGTTATTAAATTTCCGTTGGCTTTTGGTTGAACATAGATCAATATAAGCCACTGAACTCATATGTGGACTCCAAATTTACCTTTCTAACAATACCTTAAGCAAGAAAAAACACTCTAGAAACTTGTCAATAAAAACTATGACAAATGGATATTAAGATTTAGAATACATATAATTGGAGACATTTCAAAACATTTGTCATAATAATCCTTGCATGTGTGCATCAACTAGTATACTGAAGAGAGTAACTAACACGCACAGTACAATGTAAATTATTGTAAAACATTAATTTGTGTGTATTCCATTGTCTAATAACATGGAAACCATCCAACCAACATATATAGTAAATCAAGGACAAGGGAGCACATCTTATGCAATCGTTGTTTGCATAATTTGTGTGTATTCCATTGTCTAATTCACCTCATATAATAGTCAATTGTCATATTGCTATATCTATTAAGAAGAAATTACCCCAACTTTGTTGTCTCAAGTCTATGATTGTGTTGATGGTTGTGTTAGTGTTCCTACTAAGCGTTAATTTAATAATCAATCAATTGAGGTTAATAGGTCTAAAATTGGTTAAGTTTTCCTGGGAAGTATCAAAGACTACTGTGCCTAGTTAATCACTCCCACAACATTTTTGAAATTACTCCGCACTTGAAATTTTCACCATCTGTGTTAGCCATTTTCAATAGGGAGAAATTATAAATCTCATGAATCGCCCAGAGGCACCACCACAATATAGAACACAAACCTTTTGTCACCGTAAAATTTGAGAAGGGCTAGATATACTCAATTCTACCCTCGTATGTGGAGAAATTATTTACTTGGAACACATAGAATAAAATAAAATAAACTTACCCCGAAACCAATTGTCAAGAAGAAAAGTAGAATAACATATTACCAACCAATAGAATACCGCGCTCGAAGTGCAATGAGATGTGAAATATAACAAATGCTTCTTCAATATTGAATCCTTAATTCTCATTAAAATCACCGTTGCATTTGCACATATTTTACGTTGGAGGGGTGGGTCTTATTCATGATATATAGTAATAATCAAAATAGTAATAGAATTTGTTGACTGCTGTAATGAAAATGTGCTCAATCGGGATAACAACCACAAAGGTGTGCCGAATATGAGAGCAACCACTTCGTGTTTGTTATAACATCAAATACTAAGTATATTACTCAGTCCACCCCTCCCAACACCCTTAATTAAAAGGAACCAAAATGTGAAATGTTCTTTTTGGAACTAGGAATAAGATTTCTGACTTATTATGCGTTTAGTTGACATGCAAATCTCGTGGGAACAAGTGGATCAGAAAATTCTCCAATGTTGAGCATATCAAAAACAAGTTTGTTAGCTGCTTTGGTGTAGTGTCCTCCATCCCAAAATACTTTCACCGACGGGTCTGAGCACAAAGGAGATAATCCACATGGCTTGGAGCCGTTAAAATTGTATTTGCCTCCCCTAGAACCACAACACACCAAAAGTGGTGATTTAAAACCTACACATCATAGATGAAATATAATTGGAATTTCATCCCAAGGTAAGTGTAACTTGTTTGTGAATATTAGTAATGTGATTGAAGTAAAATCGTTACCCATCCTATTCAACTAGTGAATTTACTTGACTTGGATATCTTAATGTTAGGAAAACTATAACTCGGAACATATTGATTAACAAATCGCCCCTCGCCCTTTGTTCGATCAACGAACTCAACTTAGGCAAATTAACAAAATCTTTTTATATTAGTGTATGTTTTGTTCAATCCGTTTTATTTAGTGAGACATATTGTAAGGGCTTACCATACTTTGTTGGCCACTTAAAGAATGAGTACTTGATGGAGTAGATGTCCACATAAGTGATACAAGCATCAGGTAATGCTTCTCTGAGAGCAAAAACTTCCTCCTTCAATTTTTGATTTTAATATTGAACAATGTCGTTGTAAGGTATTCCATAGTCAGCACCATCAATTTGGTGTAGCTTTAGTTTCGCATGCAACAAAATATATGAAAGGCAACCAATTGGAGCTGCGTTATGGATCCAAAATGAGCGACCTCCCAAATCGTACAGTCCCTACATTACCACAACATTATAATTAATACTTTGTATGAAAGCAGTGTTTGTTTTTTTTTTATTTCTTGATTAGGCATTGTAGGAATCTTTGCAGAATTGGATTATTTTTACTTGAGTTTGCAAGCCCAAGGATCAAGTGAACTAAAATTATGTTGGACAGAAGAATTAAAAGATTACCTGACCATGTTTGGATATCAATTTGGCTAAATCAGGCACAGTTGCATTAAATTCCTCTATAGTGGTGTCATAGAATCCAATACCGTAGTCGTTTTGGCTCATATTGATTGTTTATAAGGCTCGGGAAAAAGAGTTATTTGAGGGCATCAACTCTACAACCATACTTCCTATTAAAGCACAAACTCTCAGTTCATATACTTATTCTTGATAAGTAGACAGGCGAATCAATTTTCACAATATAGCGAATAGAATCACCAACGAGCTTGTACATCGATTTCAACCAATGTAGGTTATATCAAATAGAATTATGCAAGTATAATTATACCTTGCTTCCTAATAGTCTTTGATCTGGGCATGAATTCAGAGAACTGTGTTAACTCGATATCCAAGTATAGTGGACTGAGTTTGAAATAGTCTTCTAGAATTCTTCCAAGTGGTTTGATTATGGATCCTCCCACTACAAAATTCGCACCTTGCTTGTAGTTGTAATCGGCCGCCAATGAATCCAGATAAGCATGGAGAAAAGGTAAGCGCAAATCTCTTGCTGAAATCACACCATTCAATCAAACAATTAATCATGGAGATATTGCATTTCACTCTTGTCTTGACCATTAATGTTGTCAATTATGTACGCTATTTAAAAGTGAGATATATACCCAGAAAATCAATTATGATTCATCCATAGGAGAATCTCCCCGAAGGCTTGCCAAAATAGGTCTTGCCATATGGTCAAATAATGGGATGGTATGTAGCAGAGATCGCACCAGTGTCTGAATTAGAGTCACCAAAGTTAAAAATGGCAGGAAACTCGCAATCACGTAAAGTAAGATAGGGACTCCAAAGACTTGCAAAGCACAAAAGCATGCATCCATGCTTGAATGACAAAGCATGATTTTTAGTGGTAGGAATCTCCATTGTGGAAGAGTATTGAAGGATAGCAATAACCCGTGTCTGAAAATACAGTACAATTTAAAAAAAATCAAACATTGATCGTGAACATGAAATAATCAAGCATTGAACTTGGTCGCACACTAAGTTGAAATCTAACATGCATCCTTTAATACACCCGCATTTTACATAAATGATTAACAAAATATTACTTGACATTTGGCGGGTGTGCTAGGGTATTTCTAGCGATAACCTGTGTGTGAAGGCATTGTATAATTCCAAAAATTAAATATTTATCATGAACACAAAAGAATCAAGCCCGAAACATAAAGACCCAGTAAGCTCAAAACTTAAACTGCATACTTAATACCCGCACTTCGTAAATATGCTCAACAAAATATTACCTATTTAAAATTCTCGTGAAAAAAAAATTCAATGACAAAATAATGAAAACACAACTTTAATAATCCAAAGTCCATAAATTTAAACTGGAAACCCATAAATTAAATATACTTCAAAATATATACCCAATTGGAATTCACAGTAGCACCAAACCAATGCCATTACAAGAAATGTTAATACACAAATGCAGCATTGGATGCTTTCCTCTTGGGCGATGTTTATAACAAAAAATACAAGAGATAGTTTTAACCATGAACATGCCACTAATGATGGTACATCAACATAGAAGGCAAACAAACCAACTCGACGAAGCTATTATGTTATAAAAAATTCAATTCAACAAAAAAGCCAACCCTACGAAATCAATGCAAACCAAGAATAATAAATACAAAAATACGAAAAAAAACTTAGTTGAAAAAAATTCATTCTAGATATAAGTGACCACAACAAGTAAAACATCTAAAAACCCACATCACTTAATTCATGTGTCTAATAATAATAAATATAATGTTCTCAAGAGCTCCCCCTTTTTACCAAAATAGAAAATATGTATAAAGATCCATACTTTGATACCTCCGGATATGAAAAATGGTTGAGATTTGTGAGAATGATTGGCGCGAATAGTCCAATTGCTCTTGTTGAACGTATACAACTATTGCATCACAACACTGTGAAGACTGGAAACTATTTTTTAGCGCTTCACTCTTCTCTTTGTCATCATGCCAATCCAATTTCAAGATCAACCGCTGTTAGACCATCCCAAACGCAAAATGAAACTATAATAAGAACAGTAAAAATATTTAGAGTATATCAACAGAGTCCAAATTAACAAAGCTAGGTCATTTGATATGAAATTTAGATTAGAGTATAAAAGAAACAATAAAAAATTTACACAGTAAAAACAAGAATAGAAAATTTAAAGTAGATCAATGGACATTTATGTATGTATGATTGTGTACGCGTCTGAGAGAAAAAAATTCAGTAAATGCGTTAATGGAAGAAATATGGAAGAGACAAAATTAGGAAGATGACTTTTTTATTGGAAAACGTGGATTTAATGCAGAATAATGGTCTAGGCAAAAAAATGTCAGGCATGCAGAGTCAAAATAATTTTTTTGATCGGATAAACCATTGACCAAAAAAGTGTGGCAGCTGATGCCATGTAGTATCATTAAGGGGTAGTTTTGTTTGCTACACTTTTTGTGGAACGTTGATCCCAAAGTGATCCAACATATATTTAAACTCTGAAAAGTCCTACACTTGGACCTCTGATCTCTTTTCCTTTTTTTCAAAGAGTGTTGAATTGCATCAAAAATATCATGAATACAATCTCGTTCATGAGTTGCGAAACAGAAAAAGATTAGAAGTCTCCACCAGTGTGGTGCCAGTGGAAGGCCCTCTAATGCCTAAGTTAGTTTCAATCTCAAAAAACAATAAGATGAATTGCAAGGATAGTCATATGTAATTGAATTCTTAGGCCTCACTGGTATATCTAGATGGTTGATTTTTACTGTATAAGTCCTTCTTTCACAGAGAAATTCTTATAATGGGTTGAGATAGTGATCATCTGGGTTATCCTAAATGATGAACCTAAGACAGAAGATAATTCAAGAAAGGGGCTGGGTGTACCTTCAACTTATTCTTTTCGATGCTTGAGTCAGTCGCCGTTCGAGTGCAAGTGCACAGTATATTGTGGATTTAGATTGCGTACCTGTGTTTAGTTTTTGGAAGGTTATTTATACCTTGACTCATTATGATGCCTCTTATCTAGTGTCTCATCCTAAAATTTAATATTCTGGGTTCGCAATCTAGCATAATGAGCTTTATTCATCATGTCTCATTAATGCTAAGTGCTCAGGCACCTGAATATTTTCTCGGGACCATGCTGAGCATTCATGGCTCACTACCTGGCGATCTAGTGTTTCACTTAGGTACTTAGAGCCCATAGTTGAACCTTTATGAGAAGGCACTAGATCTCCCTCGATCTAGTAGTCATTAATGCCTTAGAATTATGACTGCTTTTACGTTCTTTGAGGATTAAACAACTATTATTGGCCCGTCATACCAACACGACCCGCATTAATGAACTATTGTACTTCATTTAATGCTAGGTTTCAAGTAGACCCGCATTAATGAACTATTGTACTTCATTTAATGCTAGGTTTCAAGTAGCATACTCTGTCTCAAGTATCCTACTTACTCAGCGTCTCCTTTCCTTCAAGCGAATTGTGTGTGAATTATACGTGTTTTGATAACTATGAACATTCACGTGTCAAATTTTCGTTGGCACGTGGAGTAATGTCCCGTCACTGCCTACATAGAATCAGGTGATATACTCTGATTCCTCTTTTAGATCATATTGGCTCCTGAGTTTCTGTATTATATCACGTAGTGAACCCTCATGGGTTTTTTTTCTCGTCAATTGACCTCTTTAGTTGAACTTCTATTTGAATTCAGATGTTACAATGATCAAATCATCTCAGAAACATTGTATAGCTCAAATGAATTATTCATACACAGCAGCACATGGCTATGCCTGCTTATCACATTCGTGTAGGCAAACCTGCTGTGGGCTCAAATGTGTGAAATAAAAATCACATGGGTTAATAGTAGTTTTAGTTCTTAAAATATGTTTGTTTTGTTAATTTGGTACTCAATGCATTAATTTTATCAATTTGATTTCTAAAATATTCAATTTGTGTTTAAATAGTCTATAACCAGATAATCTGTTAAGTTTTTTACATAAATACATAACCACGTAGGCCATAAGAGTGATAGACCATGGTTTATTTGGGACTAAATTTTTGCTAATGCGGTGAATTAGTTATTCAGCAATTTAGAAAATTAGGAATGGAAAAGGATACCCAGCAGCTTGGGTGGCATTTGTGGGTATGCTGGCTGGGAGCTTTAACAGCAGTGGGGTTTCAGGTTTGGGGTTGGAGGGATGGGCGGTGGGTTAGGATTTTTGGATTGGTTGTGGTAGTGGCGGTGGCCCGGTGGGTTGGTTGTGGCAATGGGAGGTTATTTGGGTGGATGGTGGCAGCGGGTGGTGGATGGGGATTTATGGATTAGCGCCTTAGTGGTGGTAGTAGACGGTGAGTGAGGATTTTTGTGCTGAAGGTGGCAGGTATATGTTGGGAGAGGATGGACAAGAAGTTGATCGAAGGGATTGGTATTTGTGGGATTTTCATAAAAAAAAATTGAAAACACTAATACTATGGGACATAATTTGGGATTACAATGCAGTACAGCGTTGAATTGATTGCAATGCATCACAACGTTGAATTTGGGACATAATTTGGGATTACAATGCGTTACAACGTTGTATTAATACTGAAATATATTTAATACTTGAATTTACTAACAATTTAACAATCATTCGATAGAAATGATGAAAAATATGAGGGATGAAATGTATGAGTAATACATTTTTTACTGTGTTTAGTGGGATAGATAAAAAATAAAAATGATTAGTTTTTTTTTTTGGTGCATAATAAAATTAAAAAAAATATATATATATATATATTTTTTATTTTTTATTTTTAATATTTTTTTAAAAAATACATAGTTTATCATTGTATTTATATATCAAATTAATATATACATAATATATGTATATAATAAAAAATATATAGACAAATAAAATATATTTCAACAAAAATAATTAATTTTCTATCCACTTTCTTTCCAATTTAAAAAAAAATTAATTTTGGTAAATTAGAATGAAAGCTCATCCATTCACTTTTCTATCTATCCTATTTCCCTTCGTTACCAAACATAATATTTTATCTATCCTTCTAATTTTTCACCCTTTTAACTTTTTATCTTTCTATTTTTCTTCCACCATATCAAATAGAGCATAAGGGATCGGCTTGCTACGTATTGATTGCTTATCAATAAGAAAGTAGTGCTACTGAGATGTATCTATCCGAGAGAAGTTTATTTATCCAAAATTTTACTATTAAGCAACCGTACTTTACGATGATATTAAAAATTAATACAAGGTTTCTTATAAGGTTATACAATATGGTACAAGTTTCCAAAATATGGCTTGGATTGTTCTAACATAAGCTTCTGAGTTCTGACCAATATAGCAGCCAATGATTAACAGACTCGGCACCTTAAATCAAGCTAACATTTTTCTTCTTTGTGTCATACCCCTTCTCGTTGCCACTTTCATAGGCTTCTTTACCGACCTTGAGTGATATCGTATTTGTTTCTCTATCTAGAAGAAATTCACTTGGATCGGCAATACAAGTTAAAGAATCAATGATTTTATCTAGAACCGAACTATCATCTGCGCCAACCTGTCCAAAACAACAACATAACGTATTAAAAGAAACCATCGTAGGATTTGGCTGAGCACATCTCAAATTGAGAAGAAGTATATAAGGTGAATTGTACTTTACACCATAAAAGATTTATGAATTCTCATTTTGTACTCTTAAAAATTAGATTTCTTACATTTCATACTCAATATATTATAATTATTGCAATGTGATCTTTTTATTCTGTCAACATCAATAGGATGGTTCTTGACCGAATAAGCAATAGAAATTAACAAAAGGGTAACAGTATAACACTTTTAATACATTCAAGGTACAATATAGAAAATCTACTATTTAAAGGTGCAAAATAAAATTTCTTAAATCTTTCGGGGTACAAAGTGAAATTCTCTCATGTAAATATATGTATTTAAAGTAGAAGAATCATGGGTTGTCTTTATGGGTGCGTATGTGCTACCAGTGAGAAATGAACAAAGGCACACATGTATACAGATTTTATACATCGGCAATTGGCTGGTATACCTGTTCAATAGAGTAATGATATTAGAACCTAAAATTTTTTAGTGTTTTACGGGTTTTACTGTCAATTCGATGGTTATAGTGAATTAAGTCTAACAAATTATGTCCCAACAAGACTGCTTCTTTGGTAAACATTGTTGCTTGTATTTGTAAGTTTTCATTGGCTAACTGTGTACCTAACAGGCTTCGGTTTCTGTATTTTCTCTTGCACTTCGACCCCATTATTTTTCTCTAATTGATTGAGAGATGGAGCCAGACACTTTTTTGGATTGGATAAGATAGTGTGGAAAGCTATTTTGGTTGGAAAGATGTGCCCGAAGAAAGAAAAGTGAAGCTTGTAGGAGCAAAACTAGGGACCGGCTTCAAAACATGGTGTAAACACCATCAAAATGATTGAGAAGTAAGAGTGAAAGCAAAGGTTAGAAGATGGAACAAAATGAAATGAAACTGAGAGCTCAATTCGTGCCTCATGATTATGATCAAACTTTATAACAAGGTGTAAAAAACCCAAGGCAACGTGAAAATAAAGTGAAAGAGTATAGCCAAGAGTTTCACAAGCTTGACATTAAGGTGTAATATAGCTGAAACTGAAAACCAAAAACGTTAGTCGGTACATGAATGGTCTCCCATTGGCCATACAAGGCCAACTGAACTTGCAACGACCTTATAAGGTGAGTGATGCTTATTGAAGGGGCATCAGAAATTGTGACACGTATGATGAGCATTAAATAGGCCCACGTGACACAGATGTTATCAAAACACGTGAGGAAATAATGAGTCTGTAAGCAAAGCAAATTGTTGAACTGACACCAGTTCGGCAATGTGGAGCTCGGCATTGGCAGAGCCAAGCTCTACATGTTCGGCTTCGGCAGAACCGAGTTGAACGTTTAAAAAGATATCACCTCGAACGTATAACTACAATTAATCACAGGATTGATACAACTATTAAGCATAATTATCAGCACAGAAGGAATTAATCAATAGAACGATGTCTGGAGAGATTTTTGCTAGCTTCCTAACTAAAGCCCTGAACCGAAGCAAGGTGTGCCACCTTACAGCATCTGTTACCAAAATCTTAGCTGGAAGAGTCGTTATAAAAAGGAATGAGCAAAGTACAATGAAGGTACGTTGATTCCTTTCTGCATTCCTATTTGTTCTTCAATTACCGACTTAAACATCGGAATGCGTCGATCAAAATACTTCGATCCTGGGCAGTTTGCTTGGTTTGGAAGGAGTAGTCAGAGAAATTTGAGTCCAAATTCAAAAAAGAGAGTTTCGTGAAGTAAACCCATTTTTCCCCTTACACTTATCAACTGAAAGTTAAAGGCCAAAACACATGGTTTAGTAGTGGTGCATCAAGTAGTCGGTTGAATAACCCTCCTCGAGGTGGACGGACAACAGCTCCCATTTGTCCTCACCAACAAGCAAACATTAGTACTGGAAAGGCAGTCCAAAGAAGGCAGAATACTCAAGTCTAAGTGACAGTCAAGAGTTATCGATGTTTTGAAATTGGGCAAAAGTCTTGTGCGCGATGATTTCGCACAGTAGATGAAATGAAAATAGATCTCTCCCTTGGTAAACTCGTGTTTGTTGAGAAGGTGGTGGATCCCGCAGCGAGTAACGAGTTGAGAAGGCCAAAGGGGACCTAAGGAATGGTGATGAATTGCTCTAGAGGCTAGTTGATCGATTCAGGCAGGTTACGGGCGGTTCCTGTCACACGGAAAAGGGGTTAGAAGGGCACCGGAGTATTTTCTGGCGTATCCATTCTGACGATTAAGTCAGTTCTTTGTGAGAAGGGAAGAAGAAAGCACTGTATAGTTCTTGAGAGATGATTTTGTGTACTTTTACTTCACATTTTGGAAAACTATTTATACCTTTAGAGGCTCATAATTACTGATGGCCTAGTCAGTAGATAGTACCTAGGCATAGGGTAGTGTGCCCCCTATTTTGCATGGGGGAAACCCCGTTATTGATAGTTTGGGCTCCCGAGTATTTAATGCTCTCTCTTTGAAGTAAAGGCCTTAAATGTTCGGAGCCTAGGGCATTTAATACTCCATATCCTCGACTTCCCAAGCTACTACAGATGTCCCAACACTAAGGATTTATTAAATGCTTGTCTGGGACAGCCGTAAGTCAAAAGGGGTAGTTTTGTCTATTTACCCCTCATCCTGCACTTTATGCAACGCGTCTGACTCCCCCTGGTTGAGTGTCCAATTCGCCCTTCTATCCTGACTTCATTGTGCAAAGTGCTCTCATGATTCCTAGTCTAGTTTATACTGTCCAGCTGTCAATCAATAGCCTCTCCATAAGCCAAAGACTCATGGCAAGATCAGAGTTTCAATGAGTACCCTCGGATTCGAGGACACTTGGCTCCCTCTGAGTGGAGGTACCCTTGAAGCCGAGGACACATGTCTGTCATAGAGAGGGGGAGCACCCTGATGCCGGATACAAGTACTTATGACACACGCCTTCGGAGCCGAGGAAACGTGTCTTTACCAGAGCAAAGACGTGCCTTTGGTGCCTAGGACACGTGTCTTCATTAGAATAAAGGTATTCCCTCAGCGCTGAGGACATGTGTTGCCATTTACTCCTTTCCCAGAAGTGTCCCATCAAGTCTAATGAGTGTCCAAAAAGGCTGAGGCTCGGGTTGACCTTTTTGATGATCATGGTATGGGATTTGAGGAAAATTTTGCCAATATGGAAGATGCAAACCAGCAGCTAGAAGCTTGTGAACTGCTGTGGGGGAATAAAGAATTAAGGTGATGTACTTGGTCAAATATAATGCAGCATTCGATGCTTGCACCACCTTCCAATGACAAGGATGATTAGTTGCGCCAGAACTTATCTAGAACATGTTGTATAGCATGAGGAAAGCTTTGAAACCTTGTTGTTGATAGTGGGAGCTGTGAGAATCTAATTGCACAAGAGATGGTAGACAAATCAAAGCTCAAAGCCGAAATCATCCATAATCCTATCACATTATTTGGTTCAACAAAGGGAATGAGTTAATTTTTCGTCAAGATACCTTGTTGACTTTTCCGTTGGCTCTTTTAGAGATTCAGTATATTGTGTGTGGCGCACCCATAGATGCATGTCATATCTTGCTTGGACATTCCAATATGATCGATGTACATTGCATGATGGCATTTTGAACACATTCTTTCTTTGTGAAAGTGATAAGTGTTGAAGCCAATGAGAAAATAAATGTTGTACATGTCAAATGTCTAAAGAGCAGCAACAAACCGTAGGTTTATACACTCCTTTACCATTTCCCACAGCTCCATGGGTTGAGGTTAACATGGATTTTGCTTTGGGTTTACTGTGGACGGCAATGAGAGTTGATTCAATTTTGGTTGTCATTGATCATTTCTTGAAGATGGCACATTTAATTTCCTATAATAAAGACGTTGGATGCAACTAATGTGACTAGTCTTTTCTTTTGGGAAGTGATTAGACTACATGGTGTGTCAAAGACTATTTCATCTGATCAAGATGGCAAATAAATTGCAGTATAGCAGTGCATATCATCCCCAAATAGATGGTCAAACAGGAATAGTGAATATAAGCTTGGGAAATCTGTTGCAATGCCTTGAAAGTGACAATATCAGATATTGGGATTTGATCTGTTGAATTTTCTTTTAACAACACCATGGATATGTCTACTGGGAAGTCTTTTTCAAATGGTATATGGAAGGAATCCAAATCAGGTTGTTGACCTTCTGGATGGATCAATTCAGCCGAAGCTAGTGATGTATGCAGCAATCTGAAGGAGATTCAAGAAGAGGGTAATGGATATGAACAAGTGTCATAGTTATTAGTATCGTACGATACATACAATACGTTTCAATACATGAAGAAAATAATACGTATCATTAAGTGTATCGATTTGCACCGAATTGTGTGATACACAATATGATACACCCGATACAACATGATACGTAGGAGTTATTTGATTCGTAGCACAACAGGTAAAAAAAAAATTCTTTGAATTTTAATCAGAAAATGACGTTTTTTCATTTGAAAGTAATTTTTTCACCCATTAGGTAATGAAATGGCGTTGTTCCACCGTCTACAATTTAAAAAAATTAAAATCTTTTTTTTATTTGTTCCAACACAAGAGCAAATAGTTCGACTGTTAAAAGTGTCCTCCCGGCTTAATTTAGATGTTAGAACTAGAACTCTCTAAATTTTGGTATTGCTAAATTATGTTAGAAACTTCAATACTTAGATTGTTAATTTTTTATTTTGGTCATGTAACCTCTTTAAATTGTTTTATGTGAAAAAATTATGGTGCAATGAAATATTATTATAACATTTTTGTTATAAGTATATGTATTTTTTTAATATATTTTATAAAATTGAGTTATCTTACATTACAATACGTGGTACACTATTTTTAAAAAACAATACGTCTTCTGATACACATTTTGACAATCTTGACCAACGCTACAAAGAGACGGTTGATCGTCATCGGAGGTTTAAAGAGTAAAACGTTTGGGATT